TAGCACGTTACTGTACAAATGTGCTCCCTACAGCTTTATATAAAGTCTACACATTATCAATTTAGTTTGACAACAAAATGTGGATTAATATATTTTAGAATATGTCTCTCTTTTGGTCCGACTATGCGCGTTTCGTATTTATTTTTATTTTTACAAGCAACAATAAAAGCTTGATCCACGCCTCAAGTACAGAGAAACTGCGTGTGAAACTAAGAAATGACGTCATCTCAGTAAGTACAGCGAGATCAAGCTGGCTTTCATTCTACATACGCTAAGTGCTATTATGGCGAGATAATTCGCTTATCCATTTATCTTTATAATATTTATGATAAACGAAAGTATTTAGTGTGTTTTAAAAAGATCATATAGTATTTATTCATCGAGATTCCATTGTATTGTTTTACCGTGACGTCATAATAGCTTTACCGAACCTCTGCATAGGCTGACGTATATATGGGAGTCCTTAACCTAGCTGCGAAGTTGATTGGTTAATCATATCGAAATAATTCTTCGAAAACTTTGACGTAAATTGGACGTAAAAAATTGATTAAGTAGAAAATTTATGTAAACCCTGTTGTATTTTTCACTATGTTTCCTTTTTTCTTTTAAATTAAGATTGAATCATGCCAAACAAATCGCTGATATGGGCGTACAGGAAGACGTCATCAATACATATACATTGTACACGTTTTATTTCAGAATCTGGCATTATACACAGAATTAAAAAGTGCTTTTTCTTCTTAACATTATCGATAAAAAGACATTATAAGAAACATAATGATAGTCCGAATGTTAACCTTAGTGATACAATATTAATAATGCATAACAATTTGCTAGAAATCATATTTTATTTGTGCTAAAACAAACTATCACGATTTAAAAAGCATTGGTATTGATTTGCAAGTAAGTGGCATTCATTATTTATTTTTTTTCGTAATTTAAAATATATCGTACTAGATTGATTGTTCTCTGCTGGTAAATTTAAGAGTAGTCATCAAGCAGAGTTTTAATTTCTCTTTCACTATTTTTTTTTTTTAAATGGAACGCCTCTTTTTAATATTTGTTTTTTAAGTACACCAATATAATCAAACTCCGGAGATCACCAAACCAAACAAATTTGAACTTTGGTGTTGGTATATTTTAAATGCGTGTATGTATAAAAACCTCAATTAAACAGGTGCTAATCCATAAGTTTCCGCCTAATCATATAAAACAGAAGCTACATGTACGTACAAAGATATTATGAAAGTATCACAAAGGGCACAGGCACATACATACATACATACATATATATATATATATATATATATATATATATATATATATATATATATATATATATATATATATATATATATATATATATAAAGCACTAAAAATGACCAACGACACGAACAATAATAATTGTCAAATTTTTGGGACAACCTGTCCCTTCCTCAGGACAAAGAAAAAAGTTAAGAAGTCATAGAATTAGAATAGAGAGATAATGGATATACGGGTGGATCTGAGAAGATACAGTTGGCGAAAAAAGGATATAAAAAGCACTAAAAACCAACAACACTGTATATCCTAAGTATACGTTATATTTATTTCTCATCACAATATATATATATATATATATATATATATATATATATATATATATATATATATATATATATATATATATATATATATATATATATATATATATATATATTGTGATGAGAAATAAATATAACGTAAATGCCTATTAGAAAAACGTTGATGAATCCGCCTCCTCTTCCGTGTCCTAGATTCTAAAGAATTGTTTTATCATAGCACCTCTCTCTCTCTCTCTCTCTCTCTCTCTCTCTCTCTCTTATGATTGATCCTATAAAGGTGCTTGCAAAATCAGGGAATAACGTACGAAGTTACACCCCCCCCCCCCCCAAGTCTGACAGTATCAATTGCAATTGTAAAACCTTGACCATGGTTAATCAAGGTTGTCTTCACTTCTGTTGATGCCAATACATGTATAGCTATATGGACTGTCAGTGTATAATCCTTTGATAAAAGTACAGGTAGAATTCAGACTGGTGGAGTGATACCTATGTGTTATAGCTATGGACTGTGTAATCCTTTGATAAGGCCATTCCAATTTTTTTTCTATGTTTAGCGTCCGCGTGCGCCTTGGTTTTTGACACCCCATGTCAGAAAAAAAAAAAAACAGAATCAAGAGTCCTGAAATCAGTTATTCTGGTCAAAATCTTTTAATTCTGTCAATTTCTATAAATATTTGTCTACAATATGCCATATTAGGAATATTTTAGGCATTAAATACCTCGATTTTGCTGAAGAATAGATCTTTCAACGAGGAAAATAGATTTATCACATCAAATCTTTTGAATGACTTAATTTTTACGACTATAAAGTCCTTGATTTATTTTTTTTTTTGGTTTGTGTGTTTTTTGCGAATAGGTTGGTATAGCTTTTTGAAAGATGGGTGGACGCTAAACAGAGAAAAAACTTGGAATGGCCTAAAGTATACAGGACCGGGAATTTAGATTGGTGGAGTGATATATATACATGTATAGTTATGGACATGGTAATCCTTTGATAAAAGTACAGGAGGATTTCAGACTAGCGGTCCTCTTAAAGAGATAAGTAGACCTATGCCCTTTCATCTCATACTGTTCAGTGCTGTTAAAAACCTGTGAGACAAGACAAAACAGATAAAGTAAGACTGAAAATCAACACCAATTAAGAAAACAAAATAGAAAAAGGTCATGACCAAGAAAGGGGGAATTGTAACACTATTGGTAGTATTACATGAGCGAACAAAACGGAGAACACTGACAAATTTAAAAGACATGAATTAAGCTAATAATTTGTGTCTCCCGCTTATGGAATAAAAAAAGAGAATTAAAGGGAGGAAGACCTGCTAAATGCAGATGATGAAAGAAAAAAAGAAGGTCGATTTTGACCTTTCATCTTTAGTTCTTAAAGTCAATAAGGGGTCTTTTTAAGTTAAAGAAATTCATGACTTTACATTTCATTGCAAAGAGAGAGAACAGGGAGAAAGAATTTATCCTCTGAAAACAATGTATATATGCAATATATGAATTCCTCAAAATCAAAAATCTTCATTCTTAAGACACCGAGAGTTATGCTATTTTCATTTATTTGTTATTCATTTCATAATTTCATTGAAAAATATCAAAGAAATCCTGCTGAGATATCGTCTTGGAAACCAAAATCAGCAGTTGTCTTTTTAGGCCAAATATAGGGAGTTGTAATATTCAATTTGAAATTCGTTGACAAAAAGCTCAGACTTAAAGATTATATGTATGGCGTATCAGAGCTAAAAATAAAAATACTAGATTGAGTGTAGATAAACATGATATAATATGTTATTTGCGTTCAATTAAAATTTTCACCGATTTTGAACTTGAATAAGCACATGTTTCCATAGTTAAATTGATTTTAAACTGTGTCTGTTAATTAAACGCGGAGTTGGTAAATAAATCGCGGTTAATTGTTGTTTTAAATTTCTTATATCTTTGATACGTGATTGATTTAAATTGTGTATATTACAGGAAAGCCCTGTCTTTACATAAAGTAATAAACAAATAGAAAGATCTTTTTAATTTTAGTTATAGTCTGAACTTACCAAAAATACGCAATATACATGTATGATTTTAAGGCTTTCTGGAATATCGTCCGGGATTATATTATTATTATTATTTTATTTTATTTTATTTTTTTTTCTTTTGCATATAGGTTTTTATGACCTCGACCTTTGACTTCAGGATAAAAAAAAAATCATCGCAAAAGCTCAAAGGCTTTCTGAGATGTCATCCGGAAACGAAAGTGTTACAGACAGACAGACGGACAAATTCAAATATTAATTAATTTACCAAAGTCAGAATAAGCAAATGTAGTTACAGTTTTGTAATACTAAGAGCAGTGTGGGAACAAGCAGCTTTATCTGTGAGAGAGCACCGAAATTAGAATACTGTAAATTATCGTAGAAGATGAGATACATGAAACAGAATCGAATGTCTTACAAAAACGACTTCTAAGACGTATGGACTATCAAAATTCTGCAAACCGGAAGTAAACCAAAATGGAAACACAAACGCAGGTATAGATGAGAAAAATTATGAAACTGCAACGAATATTGCTGAAAATTCTGCTTTTCTTTCTCAATAGACACATAGATAAAAAAGTCAGGGTCAGACAAACGACCAAAGAGTAATGATGGATGTGCAATCTCCAAACACAAAGGACTATACTTATCAATCTCCAACATGTAAAAAGAGAGCTATGACCTTTGGAAAGAAAAAGAATCTGGTCATAACGCGTAATGACATTCACGACATATTTACCATGATTATAATTTTATATTTCATATTCTGATATTGCATAATGTATACATACAATAAGCATTTTTGTTTTGAGAATTATTAAACAGGACTAGATCAGGTCCAGTACAATAGGCATTGTAAATAAAGCGACGTACCATACTTTATTTACCTACCTCAGGTAGCTTTATTTAGCTATTTCAAGGCAACTTTCCACAATTTTGATTTTTATTTTAAAAAGACAAAAAATCTATTAAATTTTATTATAGGTATTATTTTAAAAGCAGTCTAAAGCAGAGATAGTTTTAACATTCCTGCGTTTGAACTCTTTTTAAGGAAAAGATGTATTTCCATTGTTTGAGTAATGGTACGCCACCTTGGTCATAACTTTTAAACAGTTAGTGCTATAGGGTCTTCATATTCCACATGTGCATTCCATGTGATAAGACCTTTATTTTAGTACCATCATTTCTGACCTCATGTCCTTGAAGTTCAACTTAACATTTGAAAAAAAAAAACTCTCTCCTTGGCTATGAGCTGCAATGTGTCACAAACACATGTCATCTTTTAATTACATTGCAACACAGTAAACAGTAAATTGTGATTGGACATTGTGGATTAAAGATCAGATGATAATTTATATTCATGACTAAGTGTATTTTTTTTTGTAGAGTGTTGATGACATGCTAGTGTGTCTGATGTCAATGGGATTCAGCTTTGAAGATGGCCAAGAAGCAGTTCAGAATGGTCATCTTTCAGTGGAGAGTGCCGTGGAGTGGTATGATGATAATTAAATTACAGTGAACTATGAACCTCATCCCTATATACAGTAACACTCGGTTATAAAGAACTTGGCTTATATAAGGAAATATCAGTTATAAGAATTTTATATTTTTTATATATCCCTAGGAGACTTTTCTTTATGTTCCTATAGGGATCTGAAGAATGTTGATTTTAAGGATTCTGATGTAATTAAATTCAAAGTCCCAGCTAATAGTGATTTCCTTATAACTTCCTTATAACAAAGTTTTACTGTACACCTACACAAATGTAGGACTTTGTTCCATGTTTTCCCAACAAAATAATTTGTAAGAAATATTTCCTGCTGTATCGTGTATATCATCTTTAGCATTTTCTTGTTTGCTGAACATTGTTCTTGCACACACTGAAATAGCACAGAAATGTGAAATTGATCTGATGTGCATGTTGATTTATGCCCAGGCCTATATTTATCATGTTAATGTATAATTTCAATCAAACTTCAATTTTGTTAGGAAAAAGGTGTTCTTTAAGATGGAATCAGTATGTGATAACTTAAATTTCAGGATCCTGGCTGGAAAACCTGGTCAGACTGTGTCAGATTCAGGACCCAGACTTCAATTAAGACCAACAGTATGTGGAAATGTACATTTAGCCATTTAAGACATACACAAGGCCATTTTGGCTGTGAAAATGAAAAAATACTGTGTAAAGATTTTTTTGCCCCATATGTTAAAATTTCTACCCTGTTACACTTGTAAAGATTTCACTCAGACACAGTTGGAGAGATAACTGTTTCTTTTGACTTGGCCCACTCAGGGCCAGGGTTTTGGAGAAGGAAGATGTGTGGGGATGGAGGAGGGGGAGGGGTTCTGGGAGGTGGGAGGGGTATCCTTCCTCTTTGCCAGAATTTTTTTTTCATAAATGGGTGCCATTCCCAATGGGTTCTCAACTTCTGATGTATTCTTCATTTTGACAAATATTAAGTAAATGAAATCTAGCAGCCTTACCTTAAACAGATGCATGATTAATATAATTTGTTTCAGAAAGATACATTGTATTGTTGAAAGTTTATTGATTTTTTTTATAACCCTACCCATCCCCACCCTGGGCCCATCCAATGGCCTTGCCACCACAGGCACTTGTTTCGGTAATAAATTTTTAACCCATAGTATAATAATAACACAAGGTATCTAACTCCGAATTACACGGCTTACCCCCCTCCCCCAGAATTGCACTTATTTACACTTTCAGAGGAAATACACTGACAAACTGTTTATACCTATGTTTTCTACGATAATTTATCTACACAACCATATATGGCATGCTTGTCTTTATTTTCTTTAGTCTCTGTAAACAGCGTCAAAACTCTGCTCGTCAAGTGGAAAAGTCGAATTCAACCATGAAATGGTATGTGCTAATCCCGCACAGAGAACAAAATTAAAAAATGAGTGGGTTTAAAAATTCAATTCCAGTGTTTAAATATTGCATGAGTAAATAGAACTTGTTTACGTCTGATTTTCCCTGAAAACATTACGATGTTTATCCGATGTAATTTTAGAAACAGATTTTTAGCCAATCAAAATCTCTGTGCGGAATTAGCACATACCATTTCATGGTTGAATTCGACTTTTCCACTTGACGAGCAGAGTTTTGACGCTGTTTATGGAGACTAAAGAAAATAAAGACAAGCATGCCATGTATGGTTGTGTAGATAAATTATCGTAGAAAACATAGGTATAAACAGTTTGTCAGTGTATTTCCTCTGAAAGTGTAAATGAGTGCGATTCTGGGGGAGGGGGGTACTCCGTGTAATTCGGAGTTAGATACCTTGTGTTATTATTATACTATGGGTTAAAAATTTATTACCGAAACAAGTGCCTGTGCTTGCCACTGACAACAAAAGGAAAAGGGGTGCTAAAAAGAGGGAGCAAAAATTTCCCTATTTATAAAAGAAATTGAAATGACAAGAAGTTACCTATGGGCTAAATTTTCTCATCCTGAATGTTAATTATGTTTATTTGTGTTTGTTTATAATAAGTTATACTGATAGTATTTAAGATATTTGATTTAGCCATGCTACCATAGCCGTACAGTACTTGTACATAACAGTAATTAATTCAGATATACATGTATGTATATGTGTACTTTAATTTAGTCAGAACAACCATCGAATCCATTTGTTAACCCCATACAAACAGGACAACCCACCATATCAGTTAGCCAAAACAGACTTGTGGCAACAGACCAATCAAAGTCCTCTATTCAAAACTCTGAGGAAAGCAGCCAATCAAAACCTATCAAACCGCAGTCTGAGTCAGAGGAGAGCCAGTCTGAAACTGTCATTAGTAGGCTCCATTTGAGTGAGGACCAGAAGAGGGTGAGGGCTGATTTTGAAGCCAAGCAAAGAAAGGAAGCCAGGGAGGATGCATGGAAAGAAAAACAGAGACGTAAAAGAGTATGTGTTGTGTAGAATTTATAAAGTGTAAATTGTTAATATTCTTCATGAATATTCTACATGAATTTCTGGATCCCTTCATACATGTACCTCAAAAACAAAGAAAAATTAAACCTCCACGAAAATTAGAGATTTCACAGTATTTCAGTTATCTTGGGTAACATCAGTTACTACAAACTGCCAGTCTTCATGTGTGCTCTTTATATTCAGGATCATGAGAGAGTGTTAAAGGAGATAGCTGAAGACAGGGAGAAGAAGAAAATGACAAGCCACCAAAGTAAGATGGAGGCTGCAAAAACAGAACCAAAAGAGACACCAGCAACATCATCACCCTCAAAGCCTATCCCCGACAGGTGCCAACTCCAGGGATCCCCATCTAAGCCTGCCTCTGACAGGTGCCAACTCCAGGTAGAGATTCAAAGTGTCTGTGGTAATTCAGATGAAATTGACCTAAAAGAACATGTATAGAGATGACATGTATAATCCATGTTATGCATTTAGATAGTGCTTACTGGGTTTTTCAAGGTCTTGATATCAAGGGCCCAGGCCTTTCTAATTTCTAAAAATAGCAAGATTTGTTTGAAATTGGGAAAAACATTTCATACAAGAAAAGTAGGACTGGTGGAAGAAACCAAAACAGTGCATTAAGATGTAACTGGACTTCTGCTGCTTTCTATTTTGTGAAGGCTTACCTCAAATAAATATGCAATGGTCAAAAAAAAAAGTAGACGTACTTAATTATTTTGGGGTAAAAATTGGAATATGTGGCACATTTTTTAAGATTGAGGAACAATAACGCTACCCTGCTCTGTTTTTTCATTGTTTGCAGGGTTCGACACTAACGTTAGTCCGTTAGTCTCAGACTAATACATTTTCATTCGGACTAATAAAACATGTGGCTAATTAGTCCGAACAGACCAATAAAAATTTCTGAAGAACAATATGAATAAATTACCGATGTCCGATTCTCGACAACTTTTACTGGAAAACCCCGTGTGTATTTTTAGATTTATAGCTTTTGGCGGGAAGTTACGCAATGCTGGGTCAATTCAGCGCTTAATTTTTCGACTGATCGATATGAAGTATAAGGTTTTAGCGATCATGATTTAGTATGACACTTTTAAGAAAGATGTTGGACGTTTTTGATGTAATGAAAAAAACAAAAAAAACAAAAACAAAAAAAAAAATAAAAAAGGGGTCGGGAATACGATCGTACTTGCTGATTGCGAGATTTCAATGAATCTGTGGAATAATATATTTCACGTAAATACTTTGTTTATTTCAAAAAATAATACGTATATTAATTGTCACGTTAAATTAATGTTAAAAAACGTTGATGTTTCTTCTTTTTTTTTTTTTGACGGACTAATAAAATCGCGTGCGGACTAGTAAAAGTAATGAAACACTAGTCCGGCTGGACTAAAGCCTTAAAAAGTTAGTGTCGAACCCTGGTTTGGCAATTTTAAAGCAAAAATTGGGGGAAAACACCTGCTATTTAGCATTTTAACATTGAGAATGAGGCCTCTTTTAGACCCCCTACAGACCCTGAAAAAAACCTGTATCTTGTCTCCCTTGAAGACAAAGTATCAAAGTTGATAACTAAATGTGATCTGTAAGCCTTTGCTTGCATGCTTTCATTCAAGATTGAAAAGTTATTGTTCAGTTGTTTCCCTCTGTATAGTTTATATCTGATTCCTCAGTGACCTTGCATTTTCAGCTACGATTGTTAGTGGGGGATGTGGTCAAACAAACATATTCTGCTTCAGAACCCTTCCAGACTGTGTGGAACTTTGTCACCAAGAAATGTGACTCATCAGAAATTGTGTTAATACAGGTTTGTTTAGCTTTGAAATACATACATTTTACATGATTATTTTACATCTATAGTAAAACAAATAACATTCTTAATTCGTTATGAATTTGTTTCATTTATACTGTAAACCAACTATTATTCATGTCATCTTTTATTCGCGATTCGTCAGTTTGAAATCAATCCATGACGATTAATTTTCACGACCGAAGAAGCATTCTCTATAAATACGAAGCACAATAAGTAGTTCGCGGCGATTAATATTTGCAAGTTAAAATAGGTCGCGAAACTCACGAATATTTCTCACAAGCAAAGAAAAGTTGGTTTACAGTATATGATAAGTTTATATAAATGTCTTAAAACTACAGGAAATGAAAATTAATTTACTGTAAGCATGAATTCATTATTAGCACATTTGCTGTAACCATGTTTTGCTGTAATAAGAAGTATCTTTATACTGTTTAAATTGTTGTCTATTATTGTAATTCAATTTTGTTTACCTTCCTAAATACACTTGTTATATAGGTTTCCTTCTGGTCTGAAAATTTGTAGAATATACATGTAAATTAAAAATTGAATTTTCTACATTTTGCTTTTCTTCTCATTCTGTAGCCATTTCCCCATAAAGAGTTCACCAGTGCTGATGTCAAGTCTTCCTTACTAGATCTCCAGCTTATCCCCTCTGCTTCTTTGATGGTGAAGAGGAAAGACACCCAGAAACCTCCCCCAGAAAAAGGGGGAGGTACCTATGGTATTCATTGTTGTCTTTGCATTTCGGTGCCACTTGTAGTTTTGTAACAATTGTCATATCTAGAAGTTATGCTTTTAAACTGAGAACTCTTTGCATTTGTCGAAACTGGTTTAATTTGTACATTAATAAAGTCTGTGAACATAATGAACATGAAAATGTATGTATAAATGTTAAAGTTTGGAATATACACATAATATATAGAGACTTATTAAGAAAACAATCCATGTTTGTTAGAGTAGGAGAGGGGGTCACCATGAAAATAACCTACCCATGTAAATAGGAAGGTAAAACTTTATTTTTTCAGAGAGTAATCAAATGGCTACAGGTTCAACTGCCAGTTTGTCAGGTCAAGGTGAAGGTCAAAGTGCAGCAGGTCATAGTAATATAAGGTTCCAGGCACCATGGATTGTACCAAATGCTGGAGCTGAGGAGGAAAGGCAAGGTGAAGGACAAATTTAATCTTCTGAGATCACTAAGCCAAACATTTTTGGGTAATATGAAAGATCCCAAGTCTTTGAAAATACCATATAAGTGGAATTTTTAGCAAGGCACAAATTTTAGTGATTTGTCTTTAAAATTGGTACTTAATTTTACTGAAAAGTAATTTTTGTGATTTCATGGTGCAGAGAAAGATAATGATAACCTCTAATGTGGAATGAATTGTTAGCGATATTCAATTTTAGCAATCTCAACACCCTGGCTAGAAATGCCAAAATTGAATCCTCGATCACTAAAATTTCTGCTTATAATTAAATTGCTGTTTTCTTTATCATATTTTCACTGAGTTATGTTTTCTTGTACTCTTCTAGATGAGGAGGAGGAAATGTTAGAAGAAAATGAGGATGCTGGTCAGGATGAGGCGGAGGATTACCCCTTTCATCAAGGAATGCCTCCGGGGTTTCCTGCAGGATTCGGGGGACTAGGTGGTGGGGGTCTAGGTGGCTTACCAATGCTACAAGGCATGGGTTTAGGTGCAGGTGAGAGATCACAAATCTAAATATTGACATCCACTGAATATTTTCCCCTTTATTTCCTACACTTCTTTATTCAATCCATTAATGCTCTATAACTTGATAGAACCAGTTTTTTAGCTCACCTGAGCTGAAAGCTCAAGTGAGCTTTTCTGACCACCCGTTGTCCGTCGTCCGTCCGTCTGTAAACTTTTCACATTTTCAACTTCTTCTCAAGAACCACTGGGCCAATTTTAACCAAACTTGGTACAAAGTATCCTTGGGTGAAGGGGAGTTTAAATTGTTAAAATAAAGGGCCAAGTTCCCTTACAAGGGGAGATAATCAAGAAAAGACAAAAATAGGGTGGGGTCATTAAAAAATCTTCTTCTCAAGAACCACTGGGCCAGAAAAGCTGAAACTTATGTGGAAGCATCATGGGATAGTGTAGATTCTAAATTGTTCAAATCATGACCCCCGGGGGTAGGGCGGGGCCACAATAGGGAATCCAATAATGAATGAAATATATAAGAAAAATCTTTAAAAATCTTCTTCTCAAGAACCACTGGGCCAGAAAAGCTGAAACTTATATGGAAGCATCCATTGTTCAAATCATAACCCCCGGGGGTAGGGCGGGGCCACAATAGGGAATCCAAGTTTTACATTGAAATATATAAGAAAAATCTTTAAAAATCTTCTTCTCAAGAACCACTGGACCAATAAAGCTGAAACTTATTTGGAAGCATCCTGAGGTAGTGTAGATTCTAATTTGTTCAAATCATGACCCCCGGGGGTAGGGCTGGGCCACAATAGGTATATTAAAAGGGGGGAAATCTGGTAAAGAACAGCATGGCCAAAGTTACTCAGGTGAGCGATGTGGCCCATGGGCCTCTTGTTAAAGCCACTTGTATGAAAACTTCTTAACTGTAAATCACTTTTTTTTTGCAAGAGCTTTATTTTGGCGTAATCAATAAAATTTCTGGAAAAAATCCATAAAATTATCAATAATTCACAATTTTCACTTAAGACAGACTCGTTCCCTTGAAGTCTTATAAAAGAAAGACAACTCTAAAAATTTGCAAAATCGGAAAATTCTGGTTACTTCTCTTTGAAGACGTCACATATGATGTAACTTCAAGGCCATTCACGCGGTATATTTACCACAACATTATAATAAAAATCAGCATCATTAAAAAGTTTAAATTCTCAGCTTTAAGACAGAAACAATTAAAACACTTGGACATTCAGGTTTAATGAAGTTTATTGTTCAAAGTTGTCCGAAGCAAGTTACATGCCTGATGCATGGTTAACTCACCCTTATTAAGATTTACAAACATGAAGGTAACTTTTAACTGCTTTCTAGGTGGAGGAAATCAAGCCGCATTTGAAGGGGTGGGGCAGCGATTGGTTCCTGTGGGGTATCCTGGGGCAGAGGAGGAGCATCACAATATCCCAGCAGCTCGTCTAGCGGGTTAGTATTTTCTGTGCCAGGAGTGCTGGGGAGTCGAGATTTGTCAGGACTTCCATAATGTACAGGCTAAGGTAGACTTTTATTAAAGTTAGATTTATTTGGTCTTCCTTGATGTACTAGAATTTGTAAACTATTCTCCTAAATGTTGATGTGTGGATTTGTAATTTTTTAAAAAATAAATTCAAACTTTTCTCTTTTAATGTTTCTCATATGAAGAAAAGCATGAACTTTCTGACCATTTTTAGCCTTCAGATTTCCAGGTGTTGAAAAATTGTAGGTTAACTTGCTTAAATAATTTTTTTTTTTTTGAAAGGCTGACTTTTATGAAACAACATTTAATTCTGCAAGTCATTGAACTACTTTGACAAACAAATTAGATTTTGAAATAATCCATCATATATTTATAGCACAGCCTAATCGGTTCCCTATTCGCAACTGGTCAAATGACTGTATTGTATTTTCAGCTGAAAAAGCAAGAGAAAGATATGCAAATCCACCACGTGTAGTTCCAAATCAGCCAGAAGTTTCCGTGCCTTCAACTTTGACTTACGATGTCAGTCAATTGACACACTTATGCATGAACCATATTGCTCAACGCTTGACCCAACATGACCCCAGACACCCTCTACTATCATTGTCAGGGGTTTCTGAAGAGGTCGCACAGAACATTCTATCTTACCTGCTGAAAGAAAAACTGCTTAAGCCAAGAGTCCTAAATGCTTTTATTCCATGGTATAAAATTATAAATAATATTATATAAGTGTACATTTCACTTACATAGCTGGTGCTTTTGAGTGTATATTCTGATTGAAATTTCGTAATGAATACGAAGCAAGCTCTTCGTTTGAGAACTTTTGCTGTCTATGCTTTATTTAAAATTTTCAAGAAATAGAAATCTGCAAATCAAGAAAAATATTGAAACATTGGTTTTTGGGATTTTGGGGGGAAGGGGGGGGGGGGAATGAACTTACTAATTAAGATTTTCTGATTTTCTGAAAATCAAATTTTATTTAATGGCTATGTGGATAAGGGTACATTTATGTTAGATTTAGACACTATGAACAGATAGTAAAGTTAAACATGGGATCTTTCATGGTTTATGGTTGGGTATGGTTTTTATCTAACAAGTTATGTGTGTTTTTATTCCTGAGCCTTGGAGAAAAATCAAATACAACCACAAACCATTGGAGATTCTTTTCATTACATGTTTTAAACACAGCTTTAACATTTTACACTGGTTTAACACATGAATGAAATATGAAGATAAACAAACAGTAATCATGCTCAAAAGTCCATTAAAACAATACAGATTAGGAGCAGAGCATAGATAGATCTCTAAAAACATCAGAGGTGGGATAAGGTCCCATGGAGTAGTAAACATCTCCTATCAACTGGTCACACGTGCTGTGTGCCTGAGGCCCCCTTGTCATGATTGGGCTAAAGGAAAAATCTGTAGACAATTCAGTGTTAACATAATGGTCTAACAATTTCTATGAAAAACATTAGTCAACGTTTGACTGAATGGTAGATTGTGTTTGCTACATGTAACAAGGTCATAGTATAGACTGTAGGATTTGCATAATGTTGACATTAAACAGAACTTGAGTCCTTTTTATTTGACTTCATAACTTTCACTCAATTGTGACCTCACCACATATAAAAAAGGATAACATATGACCATAATCCACTGTATAAATGAAAAAGTGATTTTATAATAATCTAATATTTCATTCTTTACAGTGTTATTTTTCATTTTCTTAGCTTTTTGAGAAAGATGATCCTGGACTGTTATCCATATACAACCAACGAATTACTTCATGCTGTAAGGTAAGTAAATAATGTTGACTGAGAATTGCATTTCGGTGGATGTGGGATAAAATGATTTATAATTAAAACACATTTGTAATGTGAAAGATTCTCAGAAATGACTTACATAATAGTAACAAACTGCCCTGGTCACTGCATCTGTCATTTTATGTGAAATAACCATGTTTTATACCAGTTCAGAACTTTTTTGTTTTTCTCTGTTTTAGATATCACTGCCAATTACAGACACTTAGTTTAAAATCATGTCCATTGATCACGGATGCAGGACTGCTAGAACTCAACAGTAAGTGTTGGCTTGGACTTGTGTGGATGTCCAAGACTGTTATTTTAACCATTAAGATTAAAGTACTTGTACTTGTATGTAAGATAAAGACTTAACGTACGGGTCATGTTATGGCTTCAAATCAGGTCAAGGTCATATTTATTTATAGATTTGCCAGTTTAGGAATTTGTCAGTATTATGTTGTTATTGTTGTTAGTATTTTGCTTTCAAATTAATTTCAGATGAAATTTACTTAAAATATGTAATGGAAATGGAAATAAAATATTACACTCAAAACTTAAAGGCATTCTATTGCATTAAACCTAAAGTAGGGGTCGAGATTCTAAAAAATGAATTGTCCTAGTTTAATCATACATGTATATAATTATTGGAAACAGGAATTTGCAGACAAGAAATGCAAAAGGTGCTACACTATGATTACAATTAAAGTATATTTACTCCATGCAGTACTATTGTACTATGATACTATGTATCAATTTGGAAATTATCAATGTATTTCTAGTCCAAGGTAGAAAAATAAACCCTTATTTTAATGTCACCTAAAAGGTCACATGCAGGTGAACATTACATTGTATTTTTTAGCTCACCTGAGCTGAAAGCTCAAGTGAGGTTTTCTGATCACCCATAGTCTGTCGTCCGTCCATCTGTCCGTACATCCTTCCCTCTGTAAACTTTTCAAATTTTCAACTTCTTCTCAAGAACCACAAGGCCAATTTTAATCAAAGTTGGTACAAAGCATCCTTGGGTGAAGAGGAGTTTAAATTTTTAAATAAAGAGGCAAGCCACCTTACAAAGGGAGATAATCAAGAAAAGACAAAAATAGGGTGAGTCATTAAAAATCTTCTTCTCAAGAACCACTTGGCAAGAAAAGCTGAAACTTAAATGAAAGCTTCCTGAGAGAGCATAAATTCTAAATTGTTCAAATCATGGCCCCAGGGGGTAGGGTGGGGCCACAATAGGGAATAAAAGTTTAACATTGAAATATATAGGAAAAATCTTTTAAAGTCTTCTTCTCAAGAACCACTGGGCCAGACAAGCTGAAACTTTTTTGGAAGTCTCCTGAGATAGTATAGACTTTAAATTGTTCAAATTATGGTCCCCAGGGGAAGGTCGGGCCACAATAGGGAATCGAAGTTTTACATTGAAATATACAGGAAAAATCTGTAAAAATCTTCATCTCAAGAACCACTGGGCCAGAAAAGCTGAAACTTATATGGAAGCTTCTTAAGAGAGCATAGATTCTAAACTGTTCAAATCATGACCCTGGGGGTAGGGTGGGGCCACAATTAGTATAACAAGGGGGAAAATCTGGACAAGAACAGCAGGGTCAAAGTTACTCAGGTAAGCATTGTGGCCCATATGAGCCTCTTGTTTCTACAATGTTGAATCTCAGCCAATCAGGGAGTTAGGAATTATTCAATAATATGATTAAAATTGTACTATTCTGTTATAAATCATTGCTGTAGCTCTTTAAGATTAAGATGCTTCAGTTTGGGAGCTCTGTTTTCATTTATATATCTTCGGACAGGTTAGGAGAGGAGAGAGGTGTCAAGCAAAAGAACTGCTTTTATGCTTAAGTTACATATATTTTCAGCTTTAAAGAAACTGAAGCACTTGAACCTCAGTGGATGTAAACAACTCACAGATAAATGTTTAGAAATCATCAAAGGTTTGTAAAATATTTATTAACTATCATAGAGAATAAAGTAAAAGATAAGTCAATGAGCATAACATTATGTTTTTAATTCTGTTAATCCAATGTAAAAATTGTTAGCTCCTGAATATGTGTATATCTACACAAAGAATGAGGATGTTTGATTTTTTATCAAGAAAAGTTTAAACTTTGATCCTGTACTGGAAAAAAGACACTGTTGAACTTCAGTATCTCGAACAATAGTGTCTAGAATATCATGGATATGTCGAGTAATTTGGAAGTCTCAGTAACTTATTCTTTAAGACAGTATTTCAATATCTCGAAGTTTTTTCTCAGTCCAATCAAGTTCTAAATAACACGGCTCTACTGTGCTTGTGTTTGTATTATATATTTGAAATTGTGAAAACTACCTATAGTTAATGTCTAGAGTTTTGGAAAAAACTCAATTCATTCATATTTAAACAGACTTGAAATTGATATTACAATCAAAAAATACAAATATTGGATATGTTATATGGTAAAGCACATAATTTTGATGGTCTTTGTGTATTTGTTTATTAGTTTTGTTCATGTATTGACAGATATGCCTTGCCTAGTATCCCTTAATTTAGATGGAACAGGAATCACAGAGCCAGGATTTATAGGAATTATTCCCAGTCTCCCCTCATGTCTACAGGTCCTCAACTTAAACAGAACCACTGTTACAGAGAAAATATTTGCTCATTTAAAAGGTACTTATATAGGAACAAATTTTAAACACTGTTGTATTGTTTCTGATGTAGAACAAGCTTAAAGATATTTTTTTCGAATAACACTAATTGAAATATTTTTAAACATTTTTTTTTCTCAAAATTTTATATGTGACACAATGTTTTATAATTGTAGAATTGGAAAATTTAAAAGTTTTGTCAATAGAACATACCAAGGTAAGAAAATGTTCTCAAATGGAAATGAAATATACAATATTAAAAAGAAATGCATACCTAAATATAAAAGGTTAGAATTTATTACTATGTGACACAATGATAACCAAATACATTTTTACATAACATTTCTTTCATAATTGCCATTAATCAAAGCATTTTTTTTTACCAAGGTTAGTAATTCATGCTTCATAAGAATTTTAATCATGTTCTAATGTATTGTGGTTTACTTTTTTGGAAAAAAAAATCTAATACACATAATTTTCATAGGTATCTTATCACTAAAAAAATTACTTTTCAAGAGTTGCATCTCTTTAAATGAACATAACAGACAGTGTACTTCTGTGAGATACATGTACATCATTAGGTATATACAGTGAATCTATATTCCTAGGTCTACGGACTGTCTGATATAAATAAACTGTAAATGTATTCCCTAGGTCTATGGACTGTCTGGTATAGATAAACTGTAAATGTATACCCTAGGTCTGTGGACTGTCTGGTATAGATAAACTGTAAAATTTAATGTATTCCCTAGGTCTGTGGACTGTCTGGTATAGATAAACTGAAGAAACTGGAGGCTCTAGATGTGTCTCAGACAGATATTGTGACAGAGTCCTTACTGTGTCTTGGAGACGGCCTCACATGCCTGGGGATCTCTAGCACAGAGAGAGTAAATGGAGATCAGGCATTACAATACATACAGAGTAAGTAACTGGAGATTAGGCCCTCCAATACATACAGAGTAAATAAATGGAGATCAGGCCCTCCAATACACACAGAGTAAGTCACTGGAGATCAGGCCCTCCAAAACAAAGAGAGTAAGAAACTGGAGATCAGGTCCTCCAAAACAAAGAGAGTAAGTCACTGGAGATCAGGCCCTCCAAAACATAGAGAGTAAGTCACTGGAGATCAGGCCCTACAAAACATACAGAGTAAGTCACTGAGGGTCAGGCCCTACAAAACATACAGAGTGAGTCACTGAGGGTCAGGCCCTACAAAAGATAAAGAGTAAGTCACTGAGGGTCAGGCCCTACAAAACATACAGAGTGAGTCACTGAGGGTCAGGCCCTACAAAAGATAAAGAGTAAGTCACTGAGGGTCAGGCCCTACAAAACATACAGAGTAAGTCACTGAAGGTCAGGCCCTACAAAACATACAGTGTAAGTCACTGAGGGTCAGGCCCTACAAAAGATAAAGAGTAAGTCACTGAGGGTCAGGCCCTACAATACTTACAGAGTAACTAACTGGGGACCAGGCCCTACAAAAGATAAAGAGTATAATTTACTGGGCATCAAGCTCTCCAATACATACAGAGAAAGTTACGAGGGCCGTTCAAAAATTACGGGGACTTGTTGCACAGAAAATATATTTGACGACATAATCAAGCAAAAAGTCATAAGTAATATAAAAGAATCTTGTCATATATGATCATCAAAATTTCATATCAAAATATTGTAAATTGGTATCAATTTCAAGTTATTTAACAGGACATCTCATGAAGTCATGGCGCAGTAAAACTTTCAACGTCACGGGCATTTTAAAAAATGGGAGCTATCATTTTAAGGTCACCTGAGTCACTCAGGTGACCTTTTGCTATCTGTTTTTGTCTGTCGTCGTCCGTCGTGCGTTAACTTTTGAACATTTTTAACTTCTTCTCTAGAACCGCTCAACCAATTTCAACCAAATTTGGTATATAGCATCTATAGGTGTAGGGGAACAAAAATTGTGAATTTCATGGTCCCTGCCCCCCTGGGGCCTGAGGGGTGGGGCTAAAACCAACAAAAATAATGCAATCTTTAGAATCTTCTTCTTTACCCCTGGACATCAAGCAGTCAAACTGTTGGCATCATTGTAATAAGCATTGAGCCCTCTACCAAAATTGTGAAATTCATGGCCCCAGGGTCAGGGGTTCTGGTGTTAGGGTGGGGCTATATAGATCATATAGTGAAAGTGCATTATTTCTTTGAAAATCTTCTTCTCTGCTCCTGGGTATTAAATAAAGTTACTAAGTACATAGTTATGGTGAGCAAGAGTGCCTCTTCCAAAATTGTGAAATTCATGGCCCCAGGGTCAGGGGTTCTGGTGTTAGGGTGGGGCTCTATTGATTATATAGTGAAAATGCATTAATTCTTCGAAAATCTTCTTCTCTGCTCCTGGGTATTAAATAAAGGAACTAAGTACATAGTTATGATGAGCAAGAGTGCCTCTTCCAAAATTGTGAAATTCATGGCCCAGGGTCAGGGGTTCTGGTGTTAGGGTGGGGCTCTGTAGATTATATAGTGAAAATGCATTAATTCTTTGAAAATCTTCTTCTCTGCTCCTGGGTATTAAATAAAGGAACTAAGTACATAGTTATGATGAGCAAGAGTGCCTCTTCCAAAATTATGAAATTCATGGCCCCAGGGTCAGGGGTTCTGGTGTTAGGGCGGGGCTCTATAAATTATATAGTGAAAATGCATAAATTCTTTGAAAATCTTCTTCTCTGCTCCTGGGTATTAAATAAAGGAACTAAGTACATAGTTATGATGAGCAAGAGTGCCTCTTCCAAAATTGTGAAATTCATGGCCCCAGGGTCAGGGTTTCTGGTGTTAGGGCAGGGCTCTATTGATTATATACTGAAAATGCATTAATTCTTTGAAAATCTTCTTCTCTGCTACTGGAGACTATTTAAACAAACTAAGTGCATGGTTATGATGCATAACGATGCTTTTTCAAAAATTGTGAATTTCATGGCCCCAGGGTCAGGGGTTCTGGTGTTAGGGTAGGGCTTTATTGATTATTTAGTGAAAATGCATTGATTCTTTGAAAATCTTCTCTGCTACTGGAGATTATTTAAACAAACTAAGTGCATGATTATGATAGACAAGGATGCCTCTTCCAAAATTTTTAAATATATGGCCTCAGTTTTGGGGGTTCTTGAGGAGGGGGAGGGGGCTCTATTGATTATATAGTGAAAAAGCATTAATTCTATTAATTAATCATTAATTAATCCCGTCTGCTCCTTAGTGTTGAGCTGATAAATAAATTGCTTAGCTATGATGAAAATGGGAGCTTTGAACAGAATTTTTAAATCTTGTGGTCCTAGGGTCAGGGGTTCTGGCATAACAAGGGGGGGGGGGGGTTGATAATATAGTGGAAAAGTGTTAATTCTTTGAAGTCCATAGTTATGATGATGAGGGTAACTCTTCCAAATTTGTAAATTTCTTGACCCTTGGTCTTGGGTTCTGGTGTTAGGGTAAGGCTTTGTTGAATCTGTAGTGAAAATGCATTGTACCTGTGAAATTCTTTGCTTCTGGGCATATCGGAAGAAAACTGAGTAAAAGTTTAAATATTTAATGATATGAGTAAGTGTATTTCTTCCAGATTTTTAAACATCTGGACCATTCGTCTAAGCATTCTGGTCCTGGGCAGGGCTCTATTAATTTGTATTCTACTGAGAGAAGTTATTCCCCTTTTCCATTCACCTTTGATAATTAATCACTGTAAATAATGTATTTGAAAGGTTAATAGAATAAGATAATTATGCAAGAATGTTTATCGTATAATTAAAAAAGTACTTTCTTAGTTTTAATAATCAGGTAGACCTGTAAGTAATAGATAAATAAAAATGAGACAAAAATAACTTATCTCATTAAAAGTTCTTCAAAGACCATAAGAGAGGTCAATGCTAGAGGTCTTAATATGGGTTTATAAATAGTACAGAAGCACTAATAGTTTGTCAATAGTCTGCATGGTGATAGTGTTAAGTGGGGGACAGATTAGAACTTAATTTATGAGTTGATACTGAATACTAGACTAATTATTTTGTTGATCCTGATCTTCCTACTTCTCTTGCTTTAGGGCACATTGCTTCATCTATCAGTGTATTTAACTTCGAAATTGTTGTATTATATTCAGGTGACCGTTAAGGCCCTTGGGCCTCTTGTTTCTTAATATTTTCCTGTAGTATTGGATACTGTATAGTTTTGGTTACCTTATCCACTCAGAATAAACATCCATTTACCATTTCCGATTCAGCCTAAAAACTATAAAACTATCATTGTGTGTTTTAGTTTGAGTTAAACTCCAAAACTGCAGATATTTCTGAAGTAAAGTTTGACATCAGTCGATCTCAATCATATTCTTAACAGCCTAGATCAGTGTTTTGTCGATGAACTTCTTCCAATACTCGCGTATTGCCTTTTAAATAAGGTCTATCAGTCTAAAATTCTTTTTTACATTTTGTAGAGATGTGTCGGATATTCCGCTAGTTTACTACATGTTTCATTAGGATTATTCTGGGTCTCTATTGGCGTTTTCCCAGCATGATTCATTATTTGATAAAAGTGCGCTGCTCCGTCAAATCACGAGACGTCATTTTTGCAGTTGATTTCGTAGGGGTCACATCGGAGAAAAATTACAATATTTCTGTTAGTACTTAAATATTACACCAGAAATCTAAATACTTAATAATAAAACAATAAAAAGAAATTTTAGAGAAAATTGTTGAATAATATCGTGAAATATGGAAAATAAATGAATAAAATTTTGAATACTGCATGTTAGTTTTTCTACATTTTTGCCGTGCTCTGTATATCACCATCAGCAGCATCAAAACGGCAATAATTTTATGAGATATTAAAGAAAATTAAAAAATTTTACAAAGAATTTATTGGAATTTTTAAGAAATATGTTCCTGTGAAATTTCAATTCTATATGATGTCTGTAAGAGTAAATAATAGCAGAGTCCACGTAATTTTTGAACAGCCCTCGTACTAGGGATCAAGTCCTCCAATACAGAGTAAATCACTGAGGGTCAGGCCCTCCAATACTAAGTAATACAGAGTAAATTACAGGGGATCCAATACACACAGTGTAAGGTACATTGTACTTGGGATCAGGCCCTCCAATACATACAGAGTAAGTTACTAGGGATCAGGACCTACAATACACAAGAAAATAAATGGAAATTAGGCCCTTGCATGTACATGTAAATATGAGGATTAGCCCCTCAAATACATACAAAGATTTTTTATTATTTGATTCTATATGTGTATAGAATGTACTTAAATTATACAGTACGTGTACAATGTTCATAATTTTGATTCTATGTGGATATGATGAACTTTAGATCCAGTCATTTTGCTATAAAGAAATTAACTTTCTTCCATTATAAGGATTGGCTCTGAGAAGTTTGAATTTACCAAGCCGATTAACCACTACAGACACAGGAATACAGTTTATTAGTAGTAAGTACAGAATTAAAAACCAGCTATATATATAAATCTAATACAACCCTGTTTATATATTCCTCTCTTAAACCATGTAATAGGTGTTTCCTCACAAATAAGACCCCCATGTCCCATTCATACTTTGGAATTATTGAAAACATACTTTTTTATGAAAAATGGACCATTCTTTTTCTGCATTGGTTCAGTATGGTTTTTTAGATTATTTTTATAATTATTATAAAGACATTTTTTGTAATGATAAATAATCAAACAAAATTTCAATTGACAAGATTGCTCTATGGGTACAAACTTCTTGTCTGTTTATTTTCTCCCAACTTTACCATAGATTTATTTTATTTCAGCAATATGTTTATTTGTACTCTTCATTTTTGTCTAAATTTATGCAAGTCTGATTTCTGCACTTCATCGTCAATTGTTAAAACTTCAATTTGCCTATCCTGCCTCCTGATTTTCTCACCACTAAGTATAAGAAGAATGACCAAAATAATTGCATATTTCAGATATGCCCTTAACAGAATTGGACCTGACTAATTATATCAATGTGGGAGATGAAGGAATGATTCATGTGGGCAAGATTAAAACGTAGGTATGCAGAAGGATTACAGTAAGGCACAAGATTCAGGTCTATAGATCTGTTAATGAAAAAGAGTTACAGTCAAACCTCCTTATCTTGAAATTGATGGGAATGAGAAAAAAAATTGAGATATCCCAGGATTTTAGATACATGTATCAAGGTTAAAATACCTAAAGAAAAAGTGGTTGAGACTTCCAACTCAATTCAGCATATCAATGCTATTTGAGATATTGGTGTTTGAGATACCAAAGTTCAACTGAATTATAATTGTTATATCATATGACCAGGATATCTGATTGATCCTCAATACAGTGGGGCCTCATTAATCTGGACACCAATAATCTGGATGTTTCACCTTTCAGACAAAATTTTTATGGAATAAAAGTTAATTTATATCTGCTAATTATAAAAGGTCTGATTCAGTCATCCAGAGGCTTCATTAATCTGGAAAATTTGCTTGGGGCATAAGCATCTGGATTAATATGGTTTGACTGTACTAAGTTCACACTAGTGAACTCCAGATACCTGAATGAATGTCAAGGCCATGCATGACGTGAACATGAACCTGTTGTTAACCTTTAAAATGACTTAGTTTTATGTATGATTCAGATATAGAATGCAACACAATTTTACTTTGTATTTTCCACAGATTAAAGAAACTCCTTCTCAGCAACACTAAGGTTACTGACATTGGAATGGTCCATTTAAAAAGTATGGAATGTTTTAAGCATACAGTATTCAATGATAGCATAAAAAATGATTTAAAATTAGGCAAAATGATGTTTTAAGCATGCAATATTCATTGATAGCTCCAAAAAGATTAAATTAGGCAGAGTGATGTTTTAAGCATGCAATGTTCATTGATAACTCACAAAAAGATTAAATTAGGCAAAATGATGTTTTAAGCATGCAATGTTCATTGATAACTCACAAAAAGATTAAATTAGGCAAAATGATGTTTTAAGCATGCAATGTTCATTGATAACTCACAAAAAGATTAAATTAGGCAAAACGATTCATTTATTAAAATTTCATTGGTTAGAAGAGTAAAATCTGACTGTATTTTTTTTTCTTGTGTTTTTCAGATTTGAAAGAATTGCAGATACTGTACTTGGACAGAACTCTAGTTTCCAATGAGTGTTCAGAAGTTATAAAATGCATGTCCAATATGATATTTTTACTTTTTCTAAATAACTATTGAAACAACTTTTTCCATGAAAAATTCATTTGAAGGAGTGCAAATTATAAGTCTACAGCAACAGCATGTGATACACTGTAACACTCACAAATACAGTGTAAATGTATTTTGCCAAAACTTGTCTTTTTCATGCTCCCCCATTCAGTACTCAAGGAATAGAAGGCTCGCATGGGAATTTCAAATTATTGAGCTCTATTTAAATTTTTTTTCTGCTCTGTTGAAGTCACTAAATATATAAACTCTATTTGATATCTTATTTTAGGTTTTCAAGGTCTTGTAGAACTGAGCCTCTCCAGCACAGGGTAAATAATTCCTATTCAATTTAATGGTAAAATTTGTAGAGGAAAGGCAAACTGGATCAAATATACACCAGTATTTTATTTTATTTTACAGCATAACCAGCAGATTTTTGTGTAATGGTGCTCTGACTGAATGTCATGACTTGAGTAAACTCAATCTTTGTAGAACATCAGTATCAAATAAAGGTAATTAGAACATCAACTGATACATACAGCTTTATTGGAAAAGATTTTAACTTGAATGAATTTGGCATCCATTAAATTTGAAGGGATGGAAAGAGAACAACATGTATCATTTAGTTCACTGAACAACTTGCGGACAAAATTTTTAGCTCACCTGAGCTGAAGGCTCAAGTGAGCTTTTCTGATTGAAAAGTGTCTGGCATCCATCTGTCTGTCATTTGTCGTGTGTTATCTGTGAACTTTTCACTTTTTTGACTTTTTCTCAAGAACCGCTGGGTTAATTTCAACCAAACTTGCAACAAAGTGTGCATGGGCGAAGGGGATTCAAGTTTGTTCACTTGAAGGGCACACTCTTTCAAGGGGAGATACAAATTGGTGTAAATTTACACATCTTTAAAAAATCAACTTCTCAATTAAGAACCACTGAGTCGGAAAAGATGAAACTTATGTGACAGCTTCATTACATAGTGTAGATTCAAACTTGTTCTAATAATGACCCCTGGGGATAGGGTGGGGCTAAAACAGGGCATCAAATACATGTATATAGGAAATATCTTTAAAAATTGTTTTCTCAAGAACAGAAAAGCCATGATTTGTCATAATAACATGGAAGCACCTTCAGGTAGCATAAATCCAAATTTGTTCAAATCATGACCCCAGGATGTAGGGTGAGGCCACAATGTAATGATATTATACAGAAAACTTCAAATCGGTGTCCAGGCCCCTTTAAGAACAGCAAAGCCATGATTAGTCATATTAATATAGAAGCATCTTCAAGTAGTGAAGATTTAAGTTTGTTCAAATCATGACCCTTGGGGGAAGAGTGAAGTCAAAACAGGGCATTAAAGTTTTACATAGGAATAAATGGGAAATATGTTTAAAAATCTTCTCAAGAACAGAAAAGCCATAATGAGTCATATTAATACAGAAGCATCTTCAGGGAGTATAGATTTAAGTTTCTTCAAATCATCACCCCAGGGTGTAGGGTGGGACCACTTGTTATTAGAACTTTGCAATACTGAACTGATTTTTGGTTTTCGCTAGCAGAAGCCAAAGTGCTGAAGTGAGCGATGTGGCCTATAGGCCTCCTGTTGGCAGTCAGCATCCATAAAAATTCTAAGATTCAAGTTAAGGTTTACAATTTATGGAGTTAAACATTGAATACAACATAATGAAGATATTCGGAATGGAAAACTGATGGGTTCAGTATACGTGGAATTCTTAAGTTCATTATTCATTGAATTATGAACTATTACAAGAGGACAAAGCAAGAGTGCTTTTCTTTTCCAATTATCGACAAATTATTTTTGAGCACTGAAAGCTTTGGTATCTGTATCTGTTTTTGACAGGTATTGTTTGTTTAGACGTAAAAAAACAACAACATTATTTTACTTTAGAAATTCCAGGTTATTCTTTCCATTGTATGTCAAAATGAAAAATATTATGTTTATATATTTTAGGTGTTTCCTGCTTGAAATCAGAGACACTGTCCTTAATCAACTTAGATGGAACACGAGTCAAACCAAACATTGTAGAAATTCTCCATCTCCAGTGTCCTAATATCAAAAGAGTGACTGTTGCAAACATTAATCCAGCTAATTCTGATGAAGAAGATTAAAATGACACCAGCTGTTGAAAATATTCAGATGGTTTTGACATTTTAAAGGACTCAGCTGTGTCGCTATAAAAATTTAAAAAAAAATACAGCAAAACTATTTTAAAATTATAATGAAAAAAATTTCAAACTTATTTTTTTCGGTATCTGCATGTATGTTACAAGTAATTAGTGCATTTTTGCTGTAAAAAAAGAGGTACCTCTTCAATGAATGATTGGTAATATTTCCCTTGTTAATTACACCAATGGTTAAGTATTGTGAGAATATGATGGATTTTAAAATTACCGTTATTTATTGTAAAAGTTGAAATGTTGAATGTAAACGTTTTTGAAAATTTTCTGTTTTATTACCAATATCTGTTGTAGTCTTTTTCTACATTATTATATTATTAAAAACATTCACCTTAAAGAGCTGCGTATTATATTTTTTAAAAAAGATAAAAGGTGTAGCATACATTGGATTAGAAAGGAAAAGACAGATCCAGAGCAAAAAAGTAAAAGGATGATAATGACGCAGCCAGAGGGAGTGAAAAATCTAAGGGTGACCACCAAAGAGAGTTGAAGTCATCAATAAAGCAGGGGAAATAGTTCATGAAGGTGACTGCCCGAGGGAGGGAGGAACTAGGATAAGACTCCTCAGTTTGTTTTGCCTTATTACCCCTCTTGCCCACATTGATTTTTTTATTCCGTTGCATCCCTCACTGACGTCACCTTTGGAAGCTCACATCTTTGTATTTGTGCTATGACTCAATGGGGCGACTAATTTGTTCAAATTTCTAACTGAAAGTTATGTATATACTGTTGGAAAGTAGTGTAAATGGGGGGGGGGGGGGGGGGGGGGCATTAACTCCTGTTCTTGGTGACAAGGGCTAGATTGAGGCTGTAGCTGGCCGAAAACAGTTTCTTACAAATTGGGGGATACTTTGTGTTATCCATTCAGTATTCGATATAAATAATGAAAAGTCTCCAGTAAGCAACTCATATACACTGTACATTTAAAAGGTTAAAAAAAAAAAACAGGGAGAAGAATCTCCGTGAATTAAAATAATCAACTAAAAAGAAGTGCAACTGTACTGCATTATAATGTCCGCCAGCTCTAGCTTGGTAATGAGCCAAATAAATGAACTTGGTCAAAATTTTTTTTAACATGAACACATTTAAAGATCTGGTTCAATATTTGCGCTTTCTCTAACTCGATGTTTTTAGACGTATTTAAACGAACATCAGAATGAGAAACTACGAAAGCCTATTAGGATCAAACTACGGTAAACAAAAAATTCAAAAGGCGTTATAACGCCTTTTGAAAAGGCGTTATAACGCGAAAAAGGCGTAATAACGCATTTTGAAAAGGCGTTATAACGCGGAAAAAGGCGTAATAACGCAAATAAAGGCGTAATTACGCCTTTCAAAAAGGCGTTATAACGCGAAAAAAGGCGTAATAACGCCTTTTGAAAAGGCGTTATTACGCCTTTCCAAAAGACGTTATTACGCCTTTCCAAAAGGCGTTATTACGCCTTTCCAAAAGATGTTATTACGCCTTTCCAAAAGATGTTATTACGCCTTTTAAAAAGGCGTTATTACGCCTCTTTTTTTTTTTCAATACATGACTTACTTACCCTACCCTGGGGGCTGATTATAATTAGATTTCCAGGAAAAAAGATTTTTAAATGTAAAATATTTTCAGTGTCAAACCAACTTAGTCCTTCTCTGATGCCAGACGCCTCTACCAAGGTGCATGGATTTCAGAAATTTGGTTGAAGTCTAATTGCTCATTATACCTATGCAAATACTTTGCCTGTTTTTGACCAAGAGGAGAGAAAAATATTCTAAATTTGACATGAATTTTTAATACGTGGCTAGCAAAGTCCAAAGCTGGTTCTGCCTATATCCTGGATTTTCAAAAGTAGAGTGTTGACTTCTCTTAATATGCATGCAAAATGCAAACAACTGTCTGCGAGATGTGCAGGAATATAGAAAATACTATAATTTATAATATAATTATAATATTAAAACTATAATCTAAATATTGCATAAATAAAGATGCCTTTGGTTCAATCTTTCATATATTTACTATTTTAAAATAACGCCTTTCCATTTTTGGATATAACCCCTTTTCAAACAGGCCGGTAGTACGAATGTGAAGGGGGGGGGGGGGGCTCCCCCACCCCACTTTTTGGGAGAATAGTCTTGCTATAGATTAAATATAAAAAATCATTTATTGATTGCTTGGTTCCTTAACATTTTGTTGCAGTATGGTTAAACTCGGGCAAGCCATTGCATTTAAAAAATGTTTTACCGAAAAATTAGAAAAAGTTTCCCCTCAAGTTTAGGCATTTTATTTTTTCGGGGGGAGGGGTTGTTTCTTGATTTTTTGTTTGCTTGTCAATTTTATGGGACCCCCCCCCCCACATTAAAAGCACGGGCCTGTCAAAGACACAATAATGGCCCTTCAAAAGGCATAATAACGCCTTTTTGAAATGCGTATTAATGCTTTTTAGAAAGGCGTAATAACGCCTTTTTAAAAGGCGTAAAAAAGGCCTTTTGGAAAGGCGTAATAACGCCTTTATGGAAAGGCGTAATAACGCATTTATGGAAAGGCGTAATAACGCCTTTTTTAAAGGCGTAATAACGCCTTTTGGAAAGGCGTAATAACGCCTTTTTACGCGTTATAACGCCTTTTGGAAAGGCGTAATTACGCCTTTATTTGCGTTATTACGCCTTTTTCCGCGTTATAACGCCTTTTGAAAAGGCGTTATAACGCCTTTTAAATTTTTTTTTACCATAGTTTGATCCTAATAAGCTTTCGTAAAGAAACTAATGTCAGAAGACCATGACAAAAGTAGGTATTGCGCTGCCGAGAAAGAAAGATCAATTTAATATTGCTATCATAATTCGAAAGATAGAGAGAAAATCATTTCATATTCTATTGCAAATTTGTTGCCTTAGTTTATTTTTACATTGTAAGGATAAATCTTCAATATTCGAGGAGAGGAAGAGAGAAAGAAAGAGAGATTGGGCGCTTCAAAACTGATGTTGCCTAAATTATTCTTCCCATAATGATTAAATTATATACATGTAATCCAAAAACCTCTAATCAATAGAGAATATTTTTATTTACTACGGTATCGTTTCAAAATTTAAAGCAATGTTTTAAAAGTAAAGGTCATTACCTATATTCTGCAGGTTAAATGAATGGTCGTTTTATATGTGGTTTTAAAAAACCGATAACTACAAATGAAATTTTTAATATACTATTGTTTAAAAAACCAGTTGCAAGGAACACAAAATTTAATGAATATGTATTTACACAGGAGCATTCTTTTTTGTACATGTAAATTTTTTTTACATGTAAACATGTAAAGTTTTTAATGCTTGCAAAGGTGCATCTGTAACAGAGACATATATGTGCCTCTCCTGGAGATTGAACCCGGGGCCTCTGGCTTGCCAGTCCAGTGCTCTACCAATTGAACTAAAGGGTTAATCTACTAGTTCAAGCTAGTAGGACGCTATGTATCTTACACTACCACATTGTCCCCCTGCAGAGAATGAGATGTCCTCATCTCTTTTGGAGTGTCGACGCCTGTGGGGCGAAGTTCTGGGGGCAATCACTTTCACCCGCCAGAGAACACCCGGGTCCCAACGTGGGCGCCAAATGTAAAGAGACATGTATGTGCCTCTGCTGTGGATTGAACCCGGGGCCTCTGGCTTACCAGTCCAGTTCTCTACCAATTGAGCTAAAGGGGTAACCCACTAGCCCAAGCTAGTAGGATGCCATGTATCTTACACTACAACATCAGAAAACAAGAGGCACAAGGGCCTTAACGGTCACCTGAGTACAATACAACAATGTAGAGGATCCGTAAACTGATAAATGAAGCTTCGTTGCCCAGAAGAAAGAAAAATTGTATGATTTGCATCAACAAAATAATTGATCTAGTATCTAATCTGTCTCCCATTTATCACTATTCCCATGCAGACTATTAACAACCTGTCTATTTTTTAACTCCATATTATTACTTCTCACATTGGCCTCTCTTGGCCTTTGAAGAACAATTAAAAAAGATAAGTTATTTTTCTCTCAATTTTATTCATCTATTATTTCCAAGTCTACCTGATCATTAAAACTATGAAAGTACTTTTTGTATTATACAATAAATATTCTTCCATAAATGTCTTATTCTATTAAGCATTCAAATACATTATTTACAGTGATTTATTATCAAAGGTGAATTGCAAAGGTGAATTACTTTGCTCAGCAGAATACAAGTTAATAGAGCACTGGCCAGGACCAGAACACTTGATTAAATTGTCTAGGTGTTCAAAATTCTGGTAAAGATACCCTTGCATATTAAAACTTTTCTCTGTTTGCCTCGAATATGAAAAGAAGCATAGAGAATTTTCAAAGAAACGTATTTACACTATATTATTAAATAAATAAAGCCCCATCCTTGCACCAGAACATCTGACTCACTGGCCATAAGCTCACAATTCTGGAATAAGCACCCTTGCTCATCATAACTATACACTTGTTTCTTTGCTTTATAATCAGTGGTAGAAAAAAATATTTTGAAAGAAATTATGCATTTTCACTATATAATCAATAGAGCCCCCCCCCCCTCACCAGAACCCCTGACCCTGGGGCCATGAATTTCACAATTTTGGAAGAGGCATTCTTCCTTCTCATAACCATGCACTTCCTTTGTTTAAAAAATACCCAGGAGCAGAGAAGAAAATTTGAAAGAATTTATGCATTTTCCCTGTATACTCAATAGAGCCCGTCCTAACACCAGAACCCCTGACCCAGGGGCCATGAAATTCACAATTTTGGAAGAGGCAACCATGCTCATCATAACTATGCACTAAGTTAATTTATTTAAAACCCAAGAGCAGAGAAGAAGATTTTCAAAGAATTAATGCAATTTTACTATATAATCAATAGAGCCCCGCCCTAGCACCTGAACCCCTGACCAAGGGGCCATGAAATTCATAATTTCTGAAAAGACAGCCATGTTCACCATAACTATGTTCTTAAATAGTTTATTTAATACCCAGGAGCGAGAAGATTTTCAATGAATTAATGTATTTTCACTATATTATCAATAGAGCCCCTCCCTAACACCAGAACTCCTGACCCTGGGGCCCTGAAATTCACAATTTTGGTAGAGGCACTCTTGCTCATCATAACTATGTACTTAGTTAATTTATTTGATAACCAGGAGCAGAGAAGAAGATTTTCAAAGAATTAATGCATTTTCACTATATAATCAATAGAGCCCCGCCCTAACACCGGAACACCTGACCCTGGGGCCATGAAATTCACAATTTTGGAAGAGGAACTCTTGCTCATCATAACTACGTAGTTAGTTTATTTAATAACTAGGAGCAGAGAAGAAGATTTTCA